TGTTTACCAGAATCACTGGGGTTTATCGTTTGGTTGGTTCCAGCTTAGTGGTGATTGGCTGGACAGTTGTATGGTCTGATTGGATGACAGCACTCCATGTTGGGTTGTGTCCCCTATACGACAGTGTTGTTACTTTGAAATGGATTCAAGTGTACACACAAAGGGGTAAGCGTTAGGCGAAAACTTCAGTTTTATAATTTTTCAGTAAAAATACCTCGGTTTTTGTTGATTAAATGGTCCAAGTACCAAGTTAATTGAATAATCTCTGGCGACTGCAGCGAGTATCGGGACGGAGCACAGACAATACGAAATGCAGGACGACTACTAAGGTACGCGGTAAGTTCCGTTGCACTTTGGTTAGTACTAACTAGTATAATCGAAATCATTAATGTACACTGTAAACAGTAGTAGGACCCATTCCCCTCTATACTCGGATTATCTAAATTTGGTGGTTATTCAATTGGATAGGTAGTAGTTTATTAACTGGATGTTGACAGTGAATGCACTGTCTCCGCATTAGCTGTGAGGTAAACTGAACCATTTGTACTGTTTGAAGTATTTTATGAACAGGTTCTTCGGGTGTTTTACTCATAATGTGTTTTTCACACCCATACTACTTCAGATTTCATGAAAATCCATGACGGCTATTTTGGGGGTTGACAAGAGTGCAAGTAACTATTCGGAGACTGTTCCATTTCCTTGCCGATCGTCCACTCGACCGGTTATATGAACAACTCGAGAATTTCGGATTACGGTGTGCACAAACGTCCCTCTCACCTCTGTGATTTGTTACTTATATTCATTATATTCTATTTGCTTCTCCGCTTGAGGTCTTCGCAAACCGAGACAGAGTGAATTCTCCCACAATCTCTATATTTTGTTATTTCGTGGATGCACGGGACACATTGGATTCACTGTGGATAACACTCATAACCTGTACGCGTTACTGCAACCATAGTACCTAAGTAAACACAGGCGATCAACTATCACAGTACTTACATTATCCATAGATTATTTGGAAGCCTGATATACCCTTTTCTTTTTTTCTTAGAGGTCAATTGCAGCTAACCCAAAAGAACACGTTAAACCAACAAGCACGAAATGCATGACCGTACATGGAAGCTTCAAGCGTCAGTAGGCACAACAACCACCCTAAATAAACTATACTTCTCGAACTTGCGAGTGACTTTCCTAAGATGTACAAATAAAGCCTGCTGAACCTTTTAGGTGTGCTTAATAGAACAAAAACGCAGAACACACCGTTACTTGGCAGTACGTGCCCCAGCCTCTATGTATGCCATACTGGCTTGCAATAGTATACTGTCTGGTACAATTGTAGAGAAAACGTAGTTTTCACCAACTATCTTGATGTCTGCATAGCAACTTATTTCCACTTTGCTGGAACTGTAAACCTGTGAGTGAAAGGAACTCCAGTGCTTATTGTCGAAGAAGTGAAGTGCTATTGTGGCGCATTCCGACAAGGTCCAACAGCCAAGAGCTATGGGCATGATACATAAAAGCAATTTCGGTCTAATCAAATGCGATCAAACCGAAGATACGGATTAAGCAATAACTCACTCGAGTTTGTGGTAGAAACGAATGAGGACAAGAGATGTAGAGCATGTAGCGATCCAAAAGATTTACGGATAGATAGCAAGCGAAGACCACGTGATATTCAGAAGCGAAGCGGCGCACTACCACATGTAGGAATAAAGGAGAGGAAGAAAACCACTTACACCGAATGACGTAGGGCCAGTCATATCTATGAATTTCATAAAAAGAAACCTGAGGACATATCGGTGTACCGTAGGAATTACGCGTGTGGGTAGACTCACCATAAAGTTTACATAAGCGAAGCGTTCCATTACGCCATTGTATGGTCTAGTCGACGTATGCTCACATGTAGCGTACGTGTACAATACACTATGAAGTATGTTTTGAGTTAGTATCTGAAATTACAACGTCAGAAACGCGTTACAGGTTTGGTAAACTCTCAAGCAGCAAGTTTCCTTTGTTTTCCCAGGCTGCGGTACTAGGTGGCCAAATTTGCTCCTGTCGGTGAGGTGCGGTACCTGTTTCCTTGAACGATATCATAGCCAGTTGTGTTCGTTAAAATTTTGGCTCACTATTGTAAGCTCACTCTACAGACGCCGGCATAGTTCGCTATAAAATCTCACTGCTTTTAGTCTAATTTGGTGGACAAAATAGTAAAGTAACCAACTATATTGGGCGCCGTTCGTTGTAGATTCCAAAAAGTATCCAGGTAATGCCTTTACGGGGTATATCACACCATAATTGGTCAATTGAAATAGGAGCCAAATGCAAACTCTGACCAGTTACAAAGAGATTGTAGGGTCAAATTCTTTAAACGCTGTCCTGTAACAAAAACAAAATGACGAATAAATATTGCTACGCAATGAACCTATTTAACATCCAAAGTCATCAGGTGTTGACAGTCCTTGTCAGCTTCACGTCAGGTTTCTTGAAGTGGATGCGCCGTGAGTCGATGTTCGCAGATTTACTTGTAGGATATTAAAAAACTTGTGTCTGTCCAAGTTGTAGTTGAGCACTGTTTGAACAAAATGTCATTACTCACATTCCATTTCGCTTTTGATGTAAAGATACCAGACGTTATCTTGACAGCACGTCATGGTTTAGACAACCAGTGGAGATTAGAAATTTGTGATGTCCGTCTTTATCCAATCATTTGTAAAAACGGCGTGTGCGCATCGCCCAAGTACCAACCTTGTAGGATACCACTCTGCAAATCACATATCTGCACATTTTGCTAGAGAAAGTTATGTACCATACTCAGGAAGAAATCACTAATCCCACAAGTCAGAAGGTAGTGGAGAAGTATACAATAGTCTTGGGACTTGGAAGCCTGTAAGAAGTTCAAGGGGGCAGGGTCAACGCTTACTCCACCAGTTGCGAAACCAGCCTATCTTACCTTGATTCTGAAAACTTTCGTGGAACAGGGCAGAAGAAACCAGCGGGCGGTGGGCTTTGGTTTAACACTACTGCTTCCATTATAAATCGGAAAGGATGTTGAGTGTCCCCATACTGTTGCTATCGGGATGGCATTTTACCCACGACCTTAGATAGATACTGCCTGCACCATGGGCATTTGTATAGGCAAAATTTTCTATATCTTTATCCTACTTGCGACCATGAGGGGAAACGTTATGAAACTAGCGACATCGTGAGTTTTATGCGAAGGATAACTGAGAGCATTGCTTTGTGGAAACTTTGAGCGCATTGTTGCATATGGGCGTTACTTACTTCTTGGCAGTTTCCTTTTGCTAATGTCCCGTGGTTATACCTCATTCCCCGTAGGTTATTGACATATTTGTAAGATGGCCTGTGGTTGATCATACTGGTTTTTAATGTTTTCATTAATTAGCCTAACACAGTCGTCTCCCGCAGTTATAGAACATTTAGATTTGTCTGCGCCATGAAACGCCGTGAACACTGACCAAAACGAGTTTCCCAGATCATATAATTCGGCCTCACACATCCTAGTGAGGAATACGGCGTAGCTACTGACGAATTTGCTCTAGGCAATCCGTACTGATAGGTGAATTCCACCTTGGCCATGGGAATCTAGTGTGTTTTCTGAAAGTTGGGACGATAAATTCCCCTGACTTGTTAGATGTCTTCTTGTTATCCGTTTGTTTTTGTGCAAGGAAATAGAAGACAGGAAGAGAAGGTTCACTCGACTTTTGGTTAAATGTTTGGTCTGGCGCAGGCTGTACTCCCTAGGTCTTAATTCTACCTTAATTATGTGAAGTAAAGAATGCGCTTTTATACACCCATGACTAGTGAAGGTTCAGTTCAGAGCATCGCGCTTCTAGTACAACTAGAAATGAAAGAATCTCCGTGCCTGACCCTGATATCCCACGGGGGTCATCAGAAGCTTCAGTAATTGTGTCGAATTGATGTAGAAAGCAAAAGTACTCCGTACTTCCCCTGGGAGCGACAATGTGTTTCGCCGTTTACATTCATGCACGCACGCGACCACCTTTTAAAAAGTAAACAGATGTGCAGTAGTGGAGAATAATATTGGCTGAAAGACAAAACCCGATTTCGAAAATCAGTAGTCTCTTCAGGGCTGCTCCTTTTAGCTTAAACATTACGATCGATTACTGGGGCTTTTAAACCAACGTGTCTGAATCTGCTGCAAAAATCCGGACGTCGCAATGGCATTTGTGCTAAGTAAGTTAATCATGTAAGTTCACCGGTCAATATTCGACACATAGACCTTAGATATTGTTCACTTAGCTACGGTGTACGGGGCAGGTTATGTATAATCTGACCACACAAATATGTAATTCAAGAAGTCAGAGTAAACATAGAAAATTAGGTTTTGTAGTGGAGATTGAGAAAATACCAATATGTACTAACACGCATTAAAAAACGTGCTTAGGAAATCAAATTCCAACCTAGCTGCTAATTATTGACTTGGATAACTTAGGTCTTCGAAATTTATTCCACATAGCGGCGTACTATGAAATTATCTTTTTCAATCCAAAATGTCATGTCTTCACTGGTATGTACTAGGCACGCCAATGCCCAGTAATCGCATGAGTCGAATAAACCTTTCTAAAGAAGCCGATTTCAGAAGTCGGACTTCCAGGGTTGTACGAGTGAATACATTAGTTTCAACGTAGTAGACCATAAAGTTCGTAACTTGACACTCAATTTGATTCGTCTCCGTTGCTTGATGACAAACCATTTCTTAATTATTATTGATTATATTGGGACTCTGAAGATATGGTTTTAGAAGGTGAGCGCAAATGCTGTATACGCTGGGTAGTTAGACATTACACCAGTATTTATACAATAAAGAGCAACGTTTTACGTATTTTTTTAACGCAGTTCATCAGTACACAATTGCTGTATGCTGTGGTATTTTGAAAGGGAGTAGGCAGCTGAATACGATGTAGTTTTTTTGGAGACAAGTGTTTTTTCCAAAAACATAATCCCGCGATAGACTACAGTGCGCTTCCAAATGCAAGTAAGGCGGGAGAATTAAACAGAAAACATAGTCATGAGATGCATAGCGCATACGCAGAGGAGGACCCGTAACTTAGTCCGGCTACAGACAACTGGTTTGAAATGAGTTGCAATAATATTTGACCGGAAGCTCAAACAGATTGAAATTCTAGATCGTACATGATACCAACAGTTGCTTCTCGAGTAATCGAGTACAGTAACATAACATTGGCCTATACCTTATCACAAACCACTTTGTGGTATGTTCACTAATCACTAACGCCTACGGTGGTCGGTGGAAATACTACGAAGTTATCATCCTCGCCTTTTGTTTCATTAGTCTTGGTTTGTTTATCAAGAGAAGAACTCCGATACCCGATATGTGTCTGATAGAATTACAACAAGTTTAGATATTGATTTATATATTTCAATTTATACATTTCACTGTATACAATTCAGTGCAAAGTTTCCCCACCGTAGAATTGGGGTAGCTGAACGATGGCCAAAGGTTTGTCCAGTGAGAACGGCATACCTTCGAAAACACAGGAAAAGCACAATAAGCTAGTCATACATGTCGTCTCCTTGCCACCGGAGCTGCTACTTGTCACACTCTAGACGACAGGTTCGACGTGTTTACCAGAATCACTGGGGTTTATCGTTTGGTTGGTTCCAGCTTAGTGGTGATTGGCTGGACAGTTGTATGGTCTGATTGGATGACAGCACTCCATGTTGGGTTGTGTCCCCTATACGACAGTG